GAACTTTGACCTTGAACTTTGATATCAAACCCCTGAACTTCACCACAACGACCGACCGCACAGATCAAAAGAGAGTCCTTCTTAGAAGACATGTGCAACATCCTGAATTCAGGAAACGTCCCGAACATTTATTCGGAAGAGGAACTGGAGAATATTTATACAAAAGTTAAGCCGGCTGTCTTGGAGGCCAACCTGACGCCAACAAAGACCATCATGTTTTCCTACTATACGAAGCGTGTTAGGTCGAATTTGCATGTCGTTATCGCTATGAGGTAGCTTTATTGAATGTATATTTTTAATAATAAATAAATCATTCATCCTTTAAATAAATAAATAAAATAGATATATCATTCGATCGATCGATCCATCTGTCAGTCATTCGTTCATTCATTCGCTCATTCATTCATTCATTCATTCATCCATTCGTTCGTTCATTCATCTATTCATTCATTTATATGTTTGTTCATTCAGTCATTCATTTCTATATACATTTGATTAATTATTTATTTTTTCAAATTCAGTTTTCATTATTCATTAACTAATTCAATTACTCAATTACATATTTATACATTTATCAATGTTTTCACCTAATAATTCACTCAATTCCTAATTAATTCATTCATTTCTTTATTCACCATTCAATCAATCAACAAAATCATGTCTTCATTCACCAATCAATCAATTACTCAATCAATACATTCCTTCATTCACCATTCAATCAATCGTTCAATCAGTCAATAATTTCTTCATTCAATCAATTAATGCATTTCTTCATTCACCAATCATGCAATTACCAAGCCCCATGGGCGAGACCTTCAGGGCAAGGTTGCGTCAATTTCCGGCCCTCGTGAACAACTGCACGATCGACTGGTTCAACGAGTGGCCGCAAGACGCTCTGGAATCAGTGGCCAGGAGGTGTTTTGATGGGTTGGGGGTCTTGGCCGAAGAGGATGAAAACGTTAAAGATGGGCTGGTTAGTAGTGGTAGCGGTGCTGGTCTATAACATTGAATGAACGCTGAAACTGTTACTACAATTACTACTAATACAACGACGGCGGCTACTACTACTACTACTTCCAACAGATCACAATGTGTCAAATGATGCATTGCAGCACGGCACAGGCGTCGCTGAAGTTCAAGGCCAACCTGAACAGGTACAACTACGTGACCCCGGCCAGTTACCTTGACCTTTTGAAACTCTTCAAGACCCTCCTTCATATGAAAAAGACTGAATTGAGTACAGCTTTTAATAGGACGAGGATTGGCCTAGATAAGGTTCGATGGATGTTTTGTTTGTTCGTTTGTTCGTTTGTTCGTTCGTTCGTTTAGTCATCACCACCACCACTACCACCATCATCGTCATCATGAACAGCTGCTAACGACAGCCGATGAAGTAGCGATTCTACAGTTGGATCTGGAGCGGATGCAGCCGCTGCTAGATGAAGCTACGAGAGAGGCTGTCGAAACTGTCGAACAGATCACTGAGGACACGGTTGGATGAATGAGCGATGGCTGGATGGATGAATGAATGATTGAATGAAAGGAAGGATTGATCGATGAATGGACGAATAAACGAATGAATGAATAAGCGAACGAACTAAACAGCGTATGCATGAAAGAAGAAACAGCCTGATCGATTAATAAATAAATAAATGAATGAATGAAAGAATAACTTAATGAATTTAATAATATAAACATGAATTTTTACAAACTTTGAATCTGTCCCCAAGAAAATAGCGGAAGAGACAAAGGCGGTGGTGTTGATGGAAGAGACGGAGGCTGACATCAAAGCAAAAAGCACTCAGGCCATTGCTGACGATGCACAAAGAGATCTCAACGAGGCCCTGCCCGCTCTTGTTAGCTGCTGATTGGTCGATTGATTGATCGGTTGATTGGTTGGTCGATTGGTTAGTCGATTGGTTGATTGGTTGGTTGATTGATTGATTGACATTTATTGAAAGGACGCAGCGTTAGCCAGTTTGAAAACCCTAAACAAGAACGACATCGTAGAGGTGAGGGCCCTCCAACGGCCTCCTGACGGTGTTAAGATGGTCATTGAGGCCGTCTGCATTTTGAAAGGGGCTAAGCCTAAGAAGATTATGGACGAGAAGGTCTGCATTCAAGCAATTTTTGAGTCACTTGTCCATTAATCATTCATTCGTTTGTTTGTTCGCTCATTCGTCCGTTCGTTCGTTCGTTCATTTGTTCAGTCAGTTACTTATTTACTAACTCATTTGAGTGGAGTTCATTCATTTATCCGTACATTCAACCAAGCAGTACACTCGTTCATTCATTTATGCAAGCAAGTCAGTCATTCACTGAGCCAACCAGCTACAAGCCAGCCAACAACATTCGAACAATCAAAAAACGAACCAATCAACCAACAACAACAACATCCAACGAACGAACGAACGAACCAGGGTGGCAAACGAGATGACTTCTGGGACGTAGGCAAGAGTTTGCTGGTGGAGCCGCAGAAGTTCCTCGAAAGCCTCTTCAAGTTTGACAAAGACAACATCAGCGAGACCACCATCAAATCCATCCAGCCCTACATTGACAACGAAGCTTTCCAGCCAGCTGCCATCGCCAAGGTCCTTGCCCCTTGCCCCCTTGCCGCCTTGCTCCTTTGATTTTGTTTTTTTCTTAAATTTCTACGTTCTCACCGTTGTTATTGTGTTATTTATTAATTAAAATATCTTTTGACATTGTTTGTTCACAAGATAAGAACAAAATAGGCACACACACACACGCACACATACACACACGCGCGCACTCACACACACGCACATATACACAGGTATCGAAAGCATGTACATCAATCTGCCAATGGGTCCGTGCCATGCACAAATATCACTTCGTAGCTAAAGCCGTTGCGCCGAAACGCGAAGCACTACGCTTAGCTCAGGAAGATTTAGCTGAAACTCAAGCTAACTTGGCTCTGACTAAGAAAAAGTTGAAAAATGTGACTGACGGATTGAAAGTCTTGCAGGAGCGTTATGAAGAGTGCATTCAAAAGAAGGAGGAGCTAGATAGTAAGGCTAAGGAGTGCGAGGTCAAGCTGTTCAGAGCTGATAAGGTTCGCGTTGCTGCTGTTGTTGTTGTATTTGTTTTTGTTTGTTTGTTTGTATGTATGTTTGTTTGTTTGTTTGTTTGTTTGTTTGTTTGTTTGTTTGTTTGTTTGTTTGTTTGTTTGTTTGTTTGTTTGTTTGTTTGTTTGTTTGTTTGTTTGTTTGTTTGTTTGTTTGTTGATATGTTGGTGTTTGTGTGTTTGTGTTTGAAACATTTGTTGATTAAATAACAAAATTTTTAATAATTAAATTTCCACGTCGCCATCAAAATTGAACTAACCTCTCTCTTCCACATTCAACCGACCAATCAAATTCAAACCTATCGCACCCTGGCAGCTGATTGGCGGACTGGCAGACGAAAGAAATCGCTGGAACGAATCGATCAACAACATCGAGACCACTTTTAAAAATATCGTCGGTGACGTCATCGTCGCTAGTGGCTGCATCGCCTACCTGGGCGCGTTCACCGTACGAAAATTATTATTAATATATATTTTATTAATTATGAAAATAATTAAAATTACGGGGAAAATTACAGTTTTTAATTGTATTTAATAACAATAATAAAATTATTATTCTTAAATAAATTTTTAAAGAGAGAAAAATTTTTTTTATTCAGGGCGAATACAGACAAGAGCTTGTAAGTAGCTGGATTTTAAAACTGGCGGATCTTGAAATACCACACAACCAAGCTTCAGGTCAATTAACCAACCAATCAATCAACCAATCAATCAGTCAATCAATCAATCAACCAACCAATTAATTATAATTAATTATCTGACTAACCAATCTGTCTACCTATCCGTCCGCTGAAATCATTCATTCAAACCGCCCATCAAGTTGAATGAACTGATTGAAATTCAGGCCTCGTTGAAACGCTCGGCAATCAAATGCTCATAAGAAACTGGCAGATAGCCGGATTACCGAAAGACTCGCTAAGTATCGAAAATGGCGTCATTGTCCAGTATTCGAAGAGATGTCCGTTATTTATCGATCCTCAGGGTCAGGCTAACAAGTGGATAAAGAATTTGGTCAGTTGATTGGTTATTTGGTTGGCTGGTTGGCCGCCAGTCAGCTGGTCGGTTGGCCGGTTGGTTTTTTAATTTGAGGAGCTTTTTTTTGTATTTTCTGTATTTGAAGTTCGAATTTTAAATTTAAAAATTTTTTAAAGATTTTTAGTTTTTTATATTCACAGGAGAAAGAGAATTTGATCGAAGTCGTCAAACTGACCGACAAGGATTTCCAAAGAAATCTCGAAAACTCGATCCGATTCGGTAAACCGTGTCTGCTGGAAAATATCGGCGAAGAAATCGATCCGACTCTGGAACCGATACTACTTAAACAAGTCGGTCTCGATTGATTTGTCATGGTAATAATGATAACGGAGATGAATTTTTATAATAATAACTATAACACTGCTACCAATATTAATAATAATTAATAATAATTCAGTCAATCAATCTTTTATTCATCCAATCAATCATTCATTCATTCAGTCATTCATTCACTCAATCAACCATTCATTCAGTCGTCCAATCATTCAACCAGGTATTCAAACAAGATGGTACACTCGTGGTGAAGCTGGGTGACGCGTTGATACCCTTCCACAACGACTTCAAATTCTACCTGACCACCAAACTCCCAAACCCGCACTACTCAGCCGAGGTCTCCACCAAGGTCACCCTCGTTAACTTCACCCTTTCCCCAAGGTGGGTCCTCTGTTGGTGATAGCATGGCGCATATGATTGGCTTGTATGAATGTGAATGAATGCATCTCGTACATGCACGTCTGGTAAAATATCGTTTATAATTTGTGTTAATACGGAACATACATCACACACACACGTACAAACGCACGCACACGCACCACAGCGGTTTAGAAGGCCAGCTATTAGGGATGGTGGTAGCAGAAGAGAGGCCAGATCTAGAGGACGCAAAGAACCAATTGATCGTGAATAGCGCGAAAATGAGAGCCGAGCTAAACGAAATCGAAGATAAGATTCTGACGAGGTTGAGTTCCTCCGAAGGCAACCCAGTCGACGACCTTGACCTCATCATGACTCTGGAGGCCTCCAAATTGAAATCGGCAGACATAAAGGTCATTCCTTGTATGTTTTTTTTTGTCATGTGTGATAATTTTTTTGCCTTTCGTTCTCGTTGTAGCAGTCTTAATTGTCTAATTAGTCTATCACCAGTGAAAGTATATGTGAAACTAAAGTTTGCAAATTCTTAGGAATGTATCTAGATAAAAAATTTACATTTGTACCTCGCGTAAAAACTGTTGCTTCAAAGTTCGCCAGAGGCCTTGGCTTAATCAACAAATACAAATTTTATCTTCCCACTGGAAGTCGTACGTTACTGTGTGTGTAATGTATTGCGTCTGCCATACGTTAACTATTGTAATTTAGTTTGGGCTGTAATGTATAAATCCAAGACTGAAGCAATTTCTCAACTCATGGGAAGGGCTGTAAAAAGGCTCTCAGACAGCTACCTTCATTCAATGAATTCTAGAAATGTTTCGACGCGATCAAACCTCTCGTCTTCTCTTTCACGCGACAACATGCTCACCTTACGGAAATTTTCGTCTTCAAACATGCATTCGTTGATTACTTCAAATACAAAAAAGTCAGAGAAACACAACAACAAAACTGTCTTGTTTTAAAACCGGCAAAAAAGAGCAATTTATTTTTTCATCATATTAATAGTTGCTCGGGTCCCGACTTTGTACAAATTTAAAAAGATCTTGGAATTGTGCTTGTTCTAATGGGTTTTTTAAATTGTCATTAGCACTTTATTTATACATTAAAATGCTGAATTATTTGAATTTTATTTTTACAGTTTCACTGTACCCTTTCTGTTTAAAATTACTCACATTTAAATTAACTCTTCTGAAAAGTTGTCAGGCTCGATAAACCTTGCGTTTTATCTCAATTACCCGAGAAATTATTTCCAATTTATTTGGAATTGTTGTTGAATAAAAGATCATTTCATTTCGAAAACCAGGCGAAAGTAGTAGCGGCTGAGCAGACGGAACGCGACATTGACGACACGCGCAGCCAGTACACGCCAGTGGCAACGAACACTCAGATTTTGTTTTTCAGCGTCTCCAATTTGAACCTCATCGACCCGATGTACCAGTACTCACTGGGCTGGTTCATCAATATCTTCATCAACAGTATTCACAACGCTAGATCGTCCGGTGTGTGTGTGTGTTTGTGTGTCTGTGTATGTGTGTGTGTATGTTTGTGTATGTGTGTCCATCGTTGTCATTGATGTTTAGATTTTTTGTGCGTCTGAATGTATGTGTATGTGTGTGTACGTGTGTGTGTGTGTACGGTGTACGTATGTGTGTGTATACAACATCAACATCATAACCATCACAACGAACAACGACAACAACAACAACAATAGATCAAATAGCAAAGAGATGTGCCTCCATAAACGACTACTTCACTTACAATCTCTACTGTAACGTCTGCAGGAGCCTCTTCGAGAAGCACAAGCAGCTCTTTGCACTCCTACTCTCCATTCGAACCCTACAAAATGTCAACAAGATTGATGAAGTCAGTGGTGATGATGATGCTGATGTAACAATGGTGGTGATGATGATGATGATGATGATGTGATTAAATTCTGATGACAATACTCGTCACTCCTGCTAGGACGAATACAGATTCCTATTGGCTGGCAGTTCGTTGACGTCATCGAAAGATCTACCCAATCCCGCACCTGATTGGCTGTCGGATAGATCGTGGGCGGAAATTAGGAACCTGGCCTCCGTGAAAGCCTACAAGAATATCGTGGAATATTTTGTCGAAGATGCCAATCAATTTAAAGAGATGTTCCAACATGCTGAACCGCATAGGTAGCAGTAGTAGAAGAAGTAGCTATTGTAGCAGCAGCAGTAGTAGAAGTAGTAGCTGTTGTAGCAGCAGCAGTAGTAGTAGTAGTAGTAGTAGTAGTAGGGGTAGTAGCAGCAGCAGTAGCAGTAGTTGTACCGTATAATTTCTTGTTTTTACACTAACAGAACAGTGATGTACAGACGTGTTACCGCAAAGATAAACTCCTAAATAAACCTGACTTTCAGTTAATCGTTAACTATCAATCATCGCCATCACCATCATCATCATCATCATTGACGTCATTATGATCACCATCATTATCAGGATGACATTTCCGGAACCTTGGCAAAGCGAGACGACGGATTTCCAGAAGATCCTGTTAATCCGCTGCCTGCGTCCGGACAAACTGACGAACGCCATGCAGGATTTTGTGGTGAAAACTTTGGGTAAGCAGTTTGTTGAGCCCCAGACTGCAAATCTGGGGGTAGTTTTCAAGGATTCCTCCCCCGTTTGTCCGCTTATCTTCATCCTATCACAGGGTTCGGTTTGTTTGTTTGTTTGTTCGTTCGTCTTATTTTTTATAAAATTATTTATCCATCCATCAATTTATTCATTCATCTATTCATTTATTTATTTATCAATTCATTTATTTATTCATCTATTCATTCATTCATCTATTCATTCATTCATCTATTCATTCATTCATCCATTCATTCATTCATCCATCCGTCCATCTAGGGACTGACCCAGCAGTTGATTTGTACAAATTCGCAGAGGAGATGAAATTCTCAAAGAAACTCAGTTCCATATCGTTGGGTCAAGGACAGGTATGTGTGTGTGTGGGTGCGTGTGTGCGTGTGCGTGCGTCTGTGTGTGCGTGTGTCTAATTTTATATAAAAGTAACAATTTATAAACCGCTCACACTCACACAAGCATACGCAAATCCAAACTTTAAAAAAACTTTGATTATTACATAAGGTACTAAGACGCACGCGAATACATAAATACATACAAACACTCACACACACAAACACACACATACACACACACACACTTAAACACACACACACATAAACAAGGGGCCCATAGCGGAGCAGATGATGTTAGAAGCAATGGACCGCGGGTTTTGGGTCTTCTTTCAAAATTGCCACCTCGCTCCTAGCTGGATGCCATCTCTCGAGAAATTGATCAGCAACATTCGCATGGAAACTGTTAGTAATGGTGACGATGACAACGATGATGTTGTTGTTGTTGCTGCTGCTGTTGCTGCTGCTGTGGCTACTGTGGCCGCTGCCAATATTGATTAAAAATATCTAATTTTTTTCTCCGTTATCGACATGACCATTGTTACGGCCGCATCGCCACCATCACCATCTGGCCATCCAATCAAAATGAAGGTACACAAAGACTTCAGACTATGGCTGACCAGCATGCCAAGCCCTCAGTTTCCGGTTTTTATTCTCCAAAATGGCGCCAAAATGACGATGGAGCCCCCGAGGGGTATCAAGGCGAACCTTTTGAAAGCTTACAGCAACTTCAACGACGATTTCTTCAGGAAGATTGATGCTGAATACGTTTGTGTCGAGAGATTTTCAAATTTATATAAAAAAATTTATTTAATTAGTTTAAATCAATCAATCATTCAGTCAATTAACCAATCAAGCAATTAATCAACTAATTACTCAGTCAACTAACCAATCAATCAAATGACCAAACAGCCAACCAATCCATCCAACCAATCAAAGAAACAAACCAACCAATCCCAAATCAGGTACACAATTTTAAGCTCATCCTCTTCTCATTATGCCTCTTTCACGGCGTCATATTAGAGCGTAGAAAGTTCGGCGCCCTGGGGTTCAACATACCGTACGAGTTTACAGACGGCGATTTACGTATTTGTGTCAGCCAGTTAAAAATGTTCCTAGATGATTATTCCACTGTACCTTTCAAGGTATCCGTCGCTCTGTTTGTGAGAACGTTTTATGTGTCTGTGTCGATATACGTACGTATTTTTGGTATGGTGTGTGTGAGTGTGTGTGTGTTTTGTGTATGAGTGTGTATGTGTTTTGTGTATGATGTGTGTGTGTTTTGTGTATGATGTGTGTGTGTGTGTTTTGTGTATGATGTGTGTGTGTTTTGTGTATGATGTGTGTGTGTGTGTTTTGTGTATGATGTGTGTGTGTTTTGTGTGTGAGTGTGTGTGTGTGTTTTGTGTACGATGTGTGTGTGTTTTGTGTATGATGTGTGTGTGTTTTGTGTGTGTGTTTTGTGTATGATGTGTGTGTGTTTTTTGTATGATGTGTGTGTGTTTTGTGTATGATGTGTGTGTGTGTTTTGTGTAGGATGTGTGTGTGTTTTGTGTGATGTGTGTGTGTTTTGTGTATGATGTGTGTGTGTTTTGTGTTGCGTGTTCCTGTTTCGGTATGTTAGGTGTGTGTGTGTGTACTGCAATTGTGTATTTTTTTCAAATTAAATCATTTCGCGTGTACGTACGTCTGTAGATGGTAATTAACTAAACGATATATTGAGGTATCGAAATAAGCATTCGTGCGAAGTTTACCTGAAGATTTTTAGATTTGTCAGAAAAATTCCTCAAATGAACTTTGAACTACCATTGTAGGTCTTATCATACACGGCTGGGGAGATAAATTATGGCGGCCGTGTTACGGACGATTGGGATCGGCGGACGATGAAGAGCATTCTGTCGGATTTCTACACCAAGAGCGTTCTCGATTCGAACTATTCGTTTAGCGGTAATTACTCCCAAATCGATGCCGGATCCGATCAGAATGTGAGTCGGTTTATCGGTATTTGTTGTGTTGTTACTGTGCAGCGAGAATTATGTAATATTTAATTACTACAATAACAACATCTCAACGTGGTTAATAACGACATCATCGTCATCAGCGTCGTCCAACAAAAACATCATCATAATATAACAACAACATCAACAGGACTACATAACTTACATAAAATCACTACCCCTTAACGACCCCTCCGAAATCTTCGGCCTACACGAGAACGCTAACATCACATTCGCGCGAAACGAAGCTTACGAGCAGCTAGGAGCGCTACTTCTACTGCAGCCGAAAAGCTCGGCGGCTGGGGAATTTTCTAGAGAAAAGGTTTTTAGGCATGTTCTTTTGTGTCGGTGTTTGTTCGTTTTTAGTATTTTCATTATAATTATTAAATATTATTTTATTTTATTAATTATTAGATATTATAACTATTTTTATTATTATGATGATAATTATTATGTAATAAATATGATAAATAAATTATTATTATTATTATGATGATGATGATGACAAGGTCGTGAGTGAGGTTGCACAGTCCATACACAGTGTAGTACCCCAGGAGATTAACTTGAAGAACGTACTAGCCCTATACCCGGTACTCTACGAGCAATCAATGAATACCGTCCTCACACAGGAAATTGTCAGGTATGTGTGTGTGTGTGTGTGTGTGTACGTGTTTGTGTGTGTGTGTGTACGTGTTTGTGTACGTACGTGTTTGTGTACGTACGTGTGTGTGCGTGTGTAGATACCCGATACCCAGTTGGCCAACCGCAGGTACAACCAGCTCCTCTCGGTGATTCGATCGACCCTGTCTGACCTCTTTAAAGCCCTCAGCGGGCAGGTCATAATGTCACACGACCTTGAACTTATGTCCAACAGCCTCTTCAATAATCAGGTTCCAGAGAAATGGAGCAACAAGGTGAGATAGAGATGATTATATGATGATGGAGAGAGAGAGAGGAGAGAGAGAGAAAGAGAGTGAATGAATGAATGAAAAAAAGAGTGCAAAAGATTGTAAGAATGAAAGAGAGAAGGAATGATAGTAAAGAAAGAAAATAATTACATATCAGTGATAAACTAAATGATAGGCCCCAATACTTTTTTAAAGCCCTTAAAAATTCTCGCATTAAATTAATTAAATTCAATCATTCAATCAATCTACCAACCAATCAGCAAATCAATCAATTAATCAATCAACCAATTAAACAACTAATTAATCAGCCAACCAATCAACCAACCAATCAACCAACCAATCAACACAGGCCTATCCATCCTTGAAGCCATTATCCTCTTGGGTCACTGATCTTAGAGAAAGGATCGACTTCCTCAATAGCTGGATTGAAAGAGGGACACCAAATGTTCGGGTTTTTCCAACATCTTCTTCATCATCAACAGTATCATAATTAATATCATAATTTGTATCATAATTTGTATTATTAGTAGTATCATCGTTAGTATCATCGCCAGTATACTTATTATTATTAATATTATCTTCTTCTTCCTTTTCATCGTCATCCTCTTAATTATTTCTTTATCGTTATCATCTTTACCGGCGACGCAAAATCCTCGTCATCGTCATCACAATCATCAGTGACGTAATCGTCACCGCCAACGTCATCAGTGACGTCATCATCGCTATTTAGGTTTTTTGGATTTCCGGGTTTTTCTTCCCGCAAGCTTTCCTAACGGGAACTCTTCAAAATTTTGCCAGGCAGAACTTGATACCCATTGATACTATATCATTCGACTTTCAGGTTATCATGATGGTGTAGTAGTAGTAGTAGTAACAGTACTAGTAGTAGTAATACACCATCATTATCATCATCATCACTATATCAGGTGATGAAACAGCCGGCGGACAGCATACTGGAGCCACCGGAAAAGGGTTGTTACGTCACGGGGCTATTTCTAGAGGGGGCCCGTTGGGACATGAGGAGATTCCGGTTAATCTATTGAGTAATTAGTTGAATACCGTCACGATTACCGTAAACCGATATTGTAGATTATACCGAGACAGTATATCATATCGATACTGTAGATTATATCGAGACAGTATATCATATCGATACTGTAGATTATATCGAGACAGTATATCATATCGATACTGTAGATTATATCGAGACAGTATATCATATCGATACTGTAGATTATATCGAGACAGTATATCATATCGATACTGTAGATTATACCGAGACAGTATATCATATCGATACTGTAGATTATATCGAGACAGTATATCATATCGATACTGTAGATTATATCGAGACAGTATATCATATCGATACTGTAGATTATATCGAGACAGTATATCATATCGATACTGTAGATTATACCGAGACAGTATATTATACCGATACCAAAGATTATACCGAAACCGCTTATTATAATTAATAAATTAGACAATTATACTATATCAGTATCAATAAGGTACTTCACAAAATACCGATATATATAACGATGCCGTGTATAGCATCCGATATCTTATACCGATACCGACAGGTTAGAAGAATCGAATCTGAAAGAGTTGTACACGAAAATGCCGTGCCTGTGGTTGAAGCCGGTATCTTCTAGGAAACGACATTCAATTGGTCTGTATGAGTGCCCCGTCTATAAGACCCTTAAGAGAGCCGGTTGGTCGGTTTGTTGGTTGGTCGGTTGGTTGGTTGACTGGTTGGTTTGTTGGTTGGTTGGCTGGCTGGTTGGTTGGCTGGTTTCATTTCACAATCAAATATTAATAATGAATCAATTCACACAATCATTCAATCGATAAATCAATCACTAATAATCAGTCGCACAACCAATCAGTCAATCAATCAATCAAATCAACCAAGCAAATCATTCAACTAATCAAGTTACTCACCCAACCAACCAATCAAATCGTTCGACAAATCAATTCATTTGCCCAACCAATCGCGCGATTTCCAGGCGTTCTATCAACCACGGGGCACTCGACGAATTTCGTTTTTTCAGTGGAAATCCCCACCAACAAGCAACAAAAACACTGGATCAAAAGGGGCGTGGCTTTGTTATGTGCTCTGGACTATTAATAAACATGGGCGGAGTCATGAATGAATTATAAATAGTACTAATTGATAAGAATTTAATTGGTTAGGTGAATGTATTAGTTTGGATCGGTTGGTTAATGATGATTGAAAAAGTTATGAATAAATTAAAGTAGTACCAATTAATATTTATAAATATTAATTAATATTGATTGACGGCGGGCGGAGTTATAAATTAATTAGTGTTATTAACAAAGATTTATGTATATTAATTAGTTATGATTGACATTTTGACGTTAATGCGTGAATTTTGCTGTTGCTTTCACGAGTTATATAGATAGATAAGTAGATCTATTTATTTATAGAAATTTATTTTTAGTTAAATTTGGATTTTATTAATTAATTAATTTATTTATTTATTTACATGTCAAGTCGGTTATTTAATCTTATGTTAATTAAATTGAAATAAATTAGAAGCCGAAACAAAACAGAAACAAACGATCAGATAGATAGATAGATAGCAATAACAATATAATAGAAATTTTATCCTCATCAGCCTAGTCATCTAGATATTTTTCAACAACAACATTATCTACAACAACAACATCTACAACAACAACATCATCATCTACAACAACAACATCATCTACAACAACAACATCTACAACAACATCTACAACATCATCTACAACAACAACATCAACAACATCAACAACAACATTATCATCAACGCCGACATCATCATCTTCATTACTCTATTAATTTCACGTGCATTGTAACTAGAATGGCTTCCCACTGGTCTGGCCAGACAAAATTTGGGTAGTCATCTCTCAGCCAATCAGGTACATTGCTCACGTCACTTCCGGGTAAGAATAAACAAATGAATCTTTTTCCGGTTTCGATGTTTTTGCTGATGCTCTTCTTGACGCTATTTGTCGCTGCGGTCGCAACCGCGGTAGCAGATGATGATGATGATGATGTTGTTGTTGGTGATGCTTCTGTTTCGGGGGATTTATTTAAATTATTAATGTTGTTGTTGCTGCTGTTGTTGTTGTTGTTATTCAGTTTAGTCCCATTGGTTCGTTTGTACTCCTCTTTCATTAATCTGTAGACTAATTTGGAATGCAACTTTCCTTTGTTGTACGGGCATGCTGCTGCTGTTGCTGTTGTTTTGTTGTTTTTGTTGCTGTTGACGTTGTTATTGTTGTTGTTGAGTTTGTTGTTGTTGTTGTTGTTGTTGAGTTTGTTGTTGATGCTGCCGTCGTTGTTGTTGATAGTGTCATTCTTATTACTGTCTTAAATTCAGTGATTATTGTTAAAGTGTTATTATTAGCAGAAGTAATAGTAGTAGCAGCAGTGGTAGTAGAAGCAGTAGTAGTAGCAGTAGTAGTAATAGTATTATTATTAGTATTATTATTGTTGTTGTTCTAACCTGTCCTATTGAAACACGGGCATCTGATTCCTGGCCTCACTGTACTCTTGTAAGAGGTGGTTACTAAAACTATGACGTAGTCAACCTATTATTATTATTATTGTTATTATTATTTATTATTATTATTATTTATAATTTTTTATTATTCCTGTTATCATAAAGACGAGAACGATCATCCGTTGAATAGTAGTTAACGTAAAGCAATTTAAACTTAAACTCATCCTAAAATTAGCCAGTTACGCGCAGACACTCAAAAATACATGAAATAAATTTCATTTTATTCATTCACTTTTTTATTCATTCATTCATTTCTTTCATCCATTCGTTCATTTCATGAATTAATGCATCCACTTACGAAATTGAACCTTTCTTCGACCCATTTCCTCTGCTCGGCGTCACCTTTTCCAGCCAACAGACAATCCACCGACACGGCGATTTTATTCTTCTGTAGAAATTTACAAACTTTGACAACTTTCGCGATTTCATCGTTGTTGCGCGCGCAATGAGTGATGAACGCAGTTATCTGCACGGAGTTTCGCCGCAGTAAGGATTGCGGGATGAGGCTGTTGTAGCTGGCTACCGTTTTCGTTGTGGACGATGACGTCTGTGACGTTGACGATGGCACGCGGAATTGTTTTTTGACGTTGTTGCTGTTGTTGTTGCTGTTGTTGTTGTTGTTGATGCTGCTGCTTCGGGTTGTAGATGACGCTTTCTCTTGGTGCCTCTTATGCTCTACTAAGTTTAATCGATCGAGGTGAGTGTTGTTACAAATTATACTTTTGCGACAACTCAGTAGCTGCTGCTGCTGCTGTTGAGAGCTTACCCTGGATTTCATTGGATCCCAGTAACGATTATCCCTCCAGAGGCAGTGACTAATTGGGACGTGATCCGTCAAAATCGGCCAATCGTCTAGCGGGTCGGAGAAATAATTGACGCAACTACTACAATTCGTGAATCTCACGTTTGAAGGCATTTCGTCAGGAATTGAACTTAAGTTTAAATTATTTATCTGAAATAGGCGTTGTTGTGTGCTTGTAGAGTTGGACGAGTTAGGTCGATGAAATCGTCTTGAAGGTATGCTACTGCAGGCCGTGCAACATGAGTTAGTCATCTGCGACCAGCGATTGTCGTCGAAGTTGTCGTTACAATCGTTGCTTTCGGGGCGTTTTTCGTCTGATAAGATGAAGGTGTTGGTTGCTGTAGATTCGGAGTTTAACGTGTTCCTATTGTAACGACTGTCTCGTTTCGTTTGGACAAATGTCGATATGGAGTTCATAGATTGCCGCTCAGACGATATATCTGTGTGAGTTTATATGTATAAATCGAAATTGTTGCTATCTATGGTGGATAAAAAATATAAATTGGTAATTTCTTGTCTGAAATTTTTTTTAAATTAAAAGTTTTCATCCAGTCAAGAAATAAAAGAAAACCTTTGAGATAGACTTCAAGAATATCAATGCAAGCGACGTTGTTGATCAGTCTACAGGCGTCCAATATGTCGGAAACCTTCAAGTCTCCACAGAACTTCTCGAAAAAAACTAAAGTCGGACTGCCCATCTGAATCGGACTGTTCTGAGCTAAACTTTTGCACCACTTTCAAGAAATTATTGATCAAAATGAAACATTATCGTAATTTTAATAATAAATTTTTGATTACAGTGAGATCGTTGGTTTGTTGGGGTTTATATATGCACGCAGTAAGTGTTGATATAGTTACTATTAGCAAGAAATGACCAACTTACCCTACGTGTGAGGACGTTATGTCCTAATTTTTCTGCCAAATGTTCCCAATCTGACCCACCACTATCATCCAGGTGCATGGCTAACTTCTCCTTCCACAAGCCAGGAATAAATTTAAAATACAAATCCTCATTGCTAGTACTGTTTCTTTGATAATTGTATATAGTTGAATTTATAGACATTTTTCTAGGAATTTATAGGTTTAATTGCGAGATTCAATCATGAAGTTTGGGAAACTAACACATTGGTTTTCCCGATCTAGGAAGCGAAATATTTTAGGAAAATGTGTTCAAAAATCTCAATTTAGAAGTTCAATGATTTCAAATGTAAACAAAACAGTGAAAAAACTATTATTTCAATGTAATAAACTTTAATTTTTTATATAGTTATTCGAAAAATGGGAAATTTGATGATAGAAATTAGCTGGTTTCATTATCTACCCAATAGTTGTACGCTAGAAAAAATTTGGCCTGTACAGTCACGTGCCAAAAAGTTTTTTTTCTAATTGAAAACAAATAATTTAAGTGGTAAAATCCTAATTATTTAGTATAAAAATTTATTTTAGATTTCAATTTTTGTCAACATTTTTGAAATATTTTATAAAAATTAAATATTTAAAATATCTCCAGAGATTTGTTTTCTGAAGTTTTATAAAGTTCCGGTAGTAGAAATAGTTTTTTTTTGTTTTGTACATTAGTTTACTTGGCGAGAAAAACTAAGGTCGGTGATCTTTGATTAGTAATTCGCTTGGAATTTTTTAAATGTTTTAAACGTGAATCATAATTTAAATTTTAAAATTATTTGTTCTGGCAATTATTTTACTATTAAATTAGAAATGTAATTATAATAATATTTGATTAATTTATTTTATTATTATTTTATGATAAAATTTATTTTATAAAATTTTATGATAAAACTTTCATCTCTACTACGACTACCTCTTATTTGAAATTTAAAATTAGGGATTTTTATTTGATTTTATTTTTAATCAAATTTATTAATTCAATTTAATTTTTGCAGTGGTTTTTTCTATTGTTTTTCTTGTTTAATGTTCATCATCATCAGAAGAAGATAATTATTAGTTTTAAATAAATTATGGGGAAATTGTTATCAAAAATATTCGGGAATAAAGAGATGAGGATTCTTATGTTAGGTCTGGATGCAGCTGGAAAAACGAGTTAGTAAAAAAAATTCATTTTAAATTTGGAAATAAATAAAATAAAGAAATAAATTCTGTTTGGTTTTTATTTTATTTTAACAATTTCTAATTTTAAAAATTTTATTAAATGTAACTAATTTCTGCCTAATTTTATTCATTTTTCATGATTATCATTGAATATATAAATGAGAATTTTATTTTTTTCATATTTTTTGGCAGCCATTTTATACAAATTGAAGTTAGGCCAATCAGTGACCACCATCCCGACTGTCGGTTTCAACGTTGAAACAGTGAAATACAAAAATGTCAAATTTAACATTTGGGTTAGTGTACTTAAGTTTATAAGTTCCTAATTTGTTAGTGAAGATGGCTGACTGCTAGTTTGGTTGACTAATTATTTAGATAAACAGCTTACTTAGGTCATTTAATTAGATAATTAGTTAAATTTACTCAAAAAATGTTGACCTTTAACCTTTCCAATTAATTTATTAAAATTTTCTAATAAATTTCTGTTTAAAACATACATCTAATAAAACTCTGAAATTTTTATAAATAAGTTTTTATTTCTCAATTTAAATTTCATGAAAAAACTTTCCTAACTGAACATGTTTAGACTCTTTAATTGCTCTCTTTCTTCAAAAAACACATCTATCTCTAATTTTCCTAATCTCCTTTTCAAAAATAATTTATTCACAATTTTCCCTAATTCCTAATTTTTCCTGATCAGGACGTGGGGGGCCAGGACAAGATCCGCCCGCTGTGGCGACACTACTACACAGGCACCCAGGGTCTGATATATGTGGTGGACTGCGCTGACCGCGATCGAGTGGACGAGGCCAGGCAAGAACTCCACCGAATCATCAATGACCGTGAGATGCGTGAGGCCATTATATTAGTATTCGCTAACAAACAGGACCTTCCTGACGGTAATTATTTACTCTTTGGTTTTCTTCTTTCTTTCACTAATTATTATAGGATCTTTGGTTTTTTTCTCTCTCTAACTTTAAGATGGTGTTTGTGGCCGTTGTGTGTAGTTAAGTTTTACCTATTTCTTCTTCAATATCTCTATTTGAGTGAACTAGTCTCTTATATGCAGTTTTACAATTGCACTACATAGATGAGTTTCTAGTTTATCAGTTTTCTCTCTTCTTTTCTCTCTCCCTCTCTCTCTCTCTCTCTCTCTCTCTCTCTCTCTTCTTTCTGACTCTTTCAGTTTTACTTTCTTCATCTCTGAGTAGAGTTCGTTTAATTTGGATTAAATTTTTAACAATATAACTCAACAGTTCACTTCAGCAATTTCGTCATCCTGTCTGTAGTAATATTTCAAAAAAGATGTAATTTGAAAATTTTTAAATTAATTTAAATGTTAATATTAATACAATTCATGTTACATTTATTCATTTCATCATTCATTCATTTATTTTTCCATTCATTCATTTATTTGTTAATTCAATCAATCATTCATGCACCCATCAATTTATTCACTCATTCAATGTAATTCTAAACGACCCCTTATGCAGTTATCAATTCATTCAACAATTCATTCATAGTTCATTCACTAACTCATCCAACAGTTCATCCAACAATTCATCCAACAACTCATCCATTCATTAATTCATTCACGGATCAATTAACATCTACTTACTTCATTCACTGTAAATTGAAATATCCAACGCCAAACAATCCAGCCATGAAGCCGCACGAGATCCAGGAGAAGTTGGGACTAACTAGAATCCGGGATAGAAACTGGTACGTCCAGCCATCCTGTGCCACCACTGGTGATGGACTGTACGAGGGTCTGACCTGGTTGACCTCTAATATCAAGACATAACTCTTTTTTATTTCTTTTATTTATTTATCCATTTTTCTATTTATTCCTTTCATCTTTTCGTTTCTCTCATTCATTCATTCATTCATTCATTCATTCATTCATTTATTAGTTCTTTTGTTCATTCATTCGTTTTTCGATTTACTTGTTAATACATACACACATGCACACATATATGTATGTATACATTTATATATATATATATGTTATATATATGTATACATATATACACATATACATGCATGTATATGTATCAGTTATTATTATTGCTATTTTTATTTGTATAACCATTGAAACATTCACTTAACCATCTTGTGTTGTGTACATGCATTGATACATTTGTACATTCGTCTTCCTTAAGAATTTGTTGACAAAGTTTTTTCAGATAGTTTTTTATTCATAACCTTGACTTGGGCTTGTGTGTGTGTGTGTGTGTGTCACTCTGTAGTTGTTAATATTATATGTATGTGTATGTGTGTGTGTGTATATATATATATATATATATATATATATATATATATATATATATATATATATATATATATATATATATGGATGGTTTGTGTACTAGACTAAAAAATGATTTAACTAATAAACCAGCTAACACGCGTTATTAGTTGCATCTGCAAGATATTATTATTATTGATGTTATTGTTAACTATTATTTTTATTATTATTATTAATTATTGTTGTCGTCTTTTATAGTAAGAAAGGTTTTTTTTACACTGTATATATGAATCAGCACTATGTTAGAAATCTGTTAGAAAAAAAAATCATTCATTCATTCAAATTGTTTACTTTTCATTTCATCATTCATTCATTTGTTGAATTATTCAATCATAATTCACTGACACACCCATATATACACATATACATACATACATATGTACGTACTTACATATATACATGCATACATGTTTTATATACTTTTCTATTACAATGATGATTCCTTGCTAATTAATATTTGTTAGACCTCTGATTGACTGTTGATTCTTAATAGCAAAAGATAAAGATATATATATATATATATATATGTGTGTGTGTGTGTATATATATATATATATATATATATATATATATATATATAAGATCAGGTAGTATTGTATAGTATAGCTAAAAGTTTGTATATTTCTTTCATTTTTTTCATTTCGATCATTCGTTCTTTCTTTTCTTTATTAATTCTTTCATTATATCATTCATTCATTCATCTTGTCATTCATTCATCTTATCATTCATTCATCTTGTCATTCATTCATCTTGTCATTCATTCATCCTGTCATTCGTTCATTCATTTTTTCATTTACTCATTTTGTCATTCATTCAATCATTTATAATTCTTTCATATGTTGCCACTTAGATTCTAACACATGGCTATTGTTAATTCTTATCGACTTTCTTGGGTAGACGAAACTTATTAATATTATTCGTTATAATTATTATTTATTGTTATTGTTATTATTTTTATTATTAATATTATTAGTATTACTAATCATAAATTCCACTTCAGTTTTGTACAATACCTATGTACTATCATTCGAATACGTACATAGCTTTTCTCTTTTTGCTTCGTTAACTTTCTATATTATTACCATGATTCTTATTGGTAACGTTATTTTTATTATTGTTATTAATATTTTATTATTATTGGTAATATTATTATCATTATTATGAATAACACTACAACTATTACCACCAATTACGACGATGTTGGTGATGATGATGATGATAGTGACGAGGGTTTGTCATCATTATCATCATTCTTTTCGCCACATACATATATATATATATGTTGGTAATAGACCATAATTTTTACAATATTCTATAAATTCTACCGAATTTCTACATTCGGTAGAATTTATAGAATATTGTAAATATATATATATATATAACACATATCCATGCTCACATTGCTATATTATTAATCTGTAATGGTAGTAATGAATGAATAAAACAATAGACCATAGGATAGGCTTTGTTTTGTTTCTAGTCTACACACCAAACAACATTAAACTTGAGCACTACTTCAGTGGCGTCGCTTTAACTACTGCTGCAGTCGTATTGTTGCCTAGCCACTCCTAAATAGATAATTGTGGCTATGAGAAGCTGTGTTTCATTAAATTAGCGTCAATACGTTACTAATACACTGATGATATACTACTACTTTTGTCGCTACTTCTATTGCCACGGCTGGGATTGTTACTTCCAACTTACTTGGCAATAATTACTTGATACTTACCTATAAATGCTCTATCTTTAATACTATCCAATCTAGATCAATCAAATATTTGTCTAGATCTACAAATATGTCTTTTCAAGCCAACACACTGACACAATTATTTCGGTTTTTTTCAAAAGGGAGTTTATTAACATTAAAAAAAATCTATAATGAAATATTTGAATCATACATAATTATATATATTTATATAAATATACATATATAGAGAGATATAGAGATAAAAACAGACTGACATACGCACGCACGCACGCACACATAAATTTGTTAAGAATACAGTGCAGTGGTTCCTCCAACACAAATAGCCTAACTCTAAATAATGGTTGAGAGGTTAATTAGTCATTAAAACAGTTCATTCTTATGAAAATAACGATGAATAATTAGAATTATCTTAGAATTAGAATAATAATGATGATTAAAAACAATAGCATTGACATAATGATAACAATGTTACATCATCATCAGCCTCATTTCTACTATTCTTCCATGCAAACTTCAACTAGTAGTCATTCCTAAACCTTGGCCTACTGTTGTTGTTATTATTGTTATTATAATTTCTCTGATCTGTTGGATAGCTATTACTGGAGAATCTATAATTGTTGTTGTTGTAACCGGTATTGTTGTATCTATTGTTGTTGTTGTAGTAGTCGTATCCGGTACTGCTATATCTGTTGTTGTTGTTACCATCTCCGTTGTTATTATTATTGTTGTTATAACCACCTCTGTAGTTGTTGAAGCTATAGCCACCATTGTTGTTGTTGTTGTAGTATCCACCTCTATTGTTGTTGTTATCACGATAATTGTTGTTGTTGTTATAACCACCACCACGATAATTGTTGTTGTTATAACCACCGCCACGATAATTGTTGTTGTTGTTGTTATAACTACCTCTGGCGTCATTGTAGTTGTAGTTGAAGGCCTGATTAGGACTAGAATGATCGAGATTAGCTCTGATGTGTCTGTTGAGGACCTGACTATTGTTGTGTTGTGAGTAACCACTGTCCCTTGCAAATCCTGTCTGTGCTTGGAATCTCTGTCCTTGGAAGTTTCTGTTAAAGTCCTCAGGCTTCAAAACTGGTGGCGGTATTTTTGCTTTCGGTAGAAGGATTGACGGGAATGTGAACCCCTTCTCAAACTGAGGGTCCTGATATTTCACGCTGATGACCTGATTGCATGTCAAGTCCTCCATCTCTGGTAATGGTGATGGCACCACCTCTCCTGTCAGACAGACCTTGTCATCACCCCAGATAAGCCCAGCCACACCGTTGGTCATTGAGGGGTTTAAATTCTGTTTCTCATCATTAAGTGAGTGTTTATAGATGTAGTTCAGACAGTCAAACGACATGTGCAGCTTGTGAACGAACAGTCTGTCATTTCCTCTGGTGTTCCTGTACTTTTCATCATCGGTTAGGTCTGGGTAGACAGTTTCTAACACCCTCAACAGCCTCTTCTCGTCCACAAATGGCAACAGAGCCACACCTTGCCATGCAAACTTTTTACCGTTCAAATCAATTTTGAAATCTTCAGGGTAGAAATCGATGATTGGGGAAATCGGTTGATACATCAATACCTGCCACGTTGGCGGAAGGAATTGTTTGCTGGCAGCTGGAAACACACTCATCAGCTGCTCTAGTGGATTAAATGGTTTCGTGTTGTCTGGAAATGTTGTATCTAACGACCCAATGTTCTGAAAATCAGACGCAAACGGAGCATAGTGGTAGGGAAAGTACCAATCCCATGACGCACAACCCTGGTAGTAGTATTTGAGCACCCAGCACATCCCTAGAACGTATTCATTTGCAACTTTTATACGAAAATCAATATCATCAACATCGACTCCAAATTTGTTGATGTAGTATCTCTCCTTCCACCCATCTTCCCACAATCTGACATCATCCTTGGGTCCTTCTTCTTCTTCTTCTCCATCAGCCACCTCATCATATTTCCTCTTCACCTGACCAATAGCGCCATCAGGTCTGCTGAATGATGAATCTAGCCTCTGTTTCAAATTGTAGGCTGCAGATTGATTGGCAGAAAGATTGGGGCAACTGTAGTTTAGCGACTGTTGGTAACTTTGCTGTCTGTACTCTCTGATTGAATGACTCGTTGATGGCTGGGGTGTTAAATTGAGCCCAAGTTGTAAGGGAGCCAGTTCTCCTTCCAGGATTGACTTTGGAGCATAAGAGTCTGAACGTCGTTGTCGTTTTGCTTTATCCTGATTTCTTCTTTTAAATTCCAAATCAGTTTCTCGACGTTTTTTAAATATGGCATCCTCTACTTCCCCCAAATCTGTCAACATTAGCTGTACCCTTTCAAGGTTTACTATTCCACTGTTTGTTAAGTAGCCTCCTGTCTTGTAAACAACTTTTTTGTAGATGCCAATCAACCTATCAATGGCACCTTCCCTGATTTCTAGTGATGGCAGATGAGGAAGAAAATCATTGCCAACGAAGAAACACATAAGGACCCAATCATCTATGGCTCTCTCAACATCTTCTTTGAATGGCAGGTTGACCATTGTCAGTTCTCTGTACAGGTATTCTCTGAGTATATTCAACCTGATGAAAATGAACTCGACATCTGTTCCCACAAATTTTGGAATCTCATCAAACTCACCACTTTTAACTTTGGTGAGGCCCATGCATTCTTTCATCTGGTGCCCACTACCACCACAAATCTCACATGCCCTCTCTGCATTTGGTTTGAATTCTTCCCTGATGATTGTGAAGTTTGGTTCGTGAGTTGCTAGGCCCAACATTATCAAATCTGCATCTGCTCCGCACAAACAATGGTGGGTGTTGGGGTCGTGGTCTGACTGCGCTCGTTGTCTTCTGATGAAATCCATAATCTTATGCTCTCCTTCTCCAGGCGCATTTGCATCTGACAGAATGACCATCAACTGAGACCATCCCGGATCGTTGTTGATACGTAAGTGAATGTAGTATCTGAGACAATCAGCCAGTCTCGACATGAATGGAGTACCAGGTGTGATGCAGTTGCTGTCAAAATGTTCAGATGCTGGCTTGTCGGCGGGTACTTCTAATCCTTTCTCTCTCATCTCCTCTTTAACTTTTGCAATTTCCTCTCTGTTTTCACGAGAATCTTTGGAAGCTCTGAATCTTCTCGATCTCTGTTGGTTCATCTTGGCACGAGGAGCGACCCCGTCGATTGCCATGTACAACAACTTGCGGGGCCTCACGATGGCCATCAAGCGATCTATGTATTCAAAGATTAGTACCATCATCTCATCCTCATTTTTGGGAGCTGGCTTGTTTTCCGGATGGCAACACGGATGGATGATCCCATTCATATCTAAATAGAGATTATCAAACTCAACATTATTCGGATTCGGTTGAGTGATGTCAATAGGCACTTGGACGCCGTCAATTATTTTCTGTTTATCTTCTTTGGCATGGACCACAATCGATGAATACTTCCTACTCAGCCATCGAAAAAATGCTGGCACTCCCATTGTTTCGTTCGTTCGTTAATTCAAATTGTTTAGTTTGTCTTCTAAACCAAACTTCTGAATTTAGAGAATTTCACAATTGAGATGTAGAAGTCTAAAATAAAATACAAATGTTCGTTTGTTTGATTCGACAAACGAACAATTAGACAATATACGATACTATATAATTAATTCAATGACCAAATTTTCTAAATAAATAATTGAATTAATACCCACAAAATTAAAGTTAAATATTAGCGAGACAATGCAGAATATAAGGTTAACTAATCATCGCTCGCTCCATTATTTATAGATAGATAAAACAAAGTTACTAGATAAATATTTACAACCTCCAACAAATTTACAATAATTTTACAATCAATTTACAACCAATTTACAATTTATAATATTCTATGTTTATGCTTCTTGGTTATTCATCAAAAACAAAGTAACTATTTAGATAAATATTTACAATCTCCAATAAACTTAAAATTTACAATCATTTTACAATCAATTTACATCAAATTTAAAGTATTCTAAAAATTTTTGCTTCTTTGTTTTTCATCAAAGTTATAGAGATTTGAAAGAGAATTCATAGTAATCTAGTGTAGTATAGTGAGTCTCAATACCTTCAACAAGTCACTGTATTTTACCGGACAAAAAGCGATTTTTATATTCAAAGTAACAAAAATAATTTTAAAATACATAATTTAATTACATTGTTTTAAACTTAATAAATCAAGTAAATAGTTCATATAGCTTGTTCGTTAAAGCCCATGTAATTTCATAAGTATGCCAATGAAGTCAATTAGTCCGACCCGCTTTAAAACTATAATATTTACGTGTAAAAGTGAGTGCAAAAGTGGAATAAAATTTTAACAAAATTGCAATTTTTTTACACCAAAATCGCCATTTACCTCACTAATTTTGTATTTCTCACAAATTAGAAATTATGGATCCAACGTCAAACCTTAGCTTTATTGAAGAAAAGGCGTGTTATTATTTTTTAAACATTTTTTAAATCATTTGGGCATTATTTTTTGATTGGATTCTAATTAAAAAACTAAATTTAAAAATTAACTCTAAATAGAAATATCGTTCGATTATTAATAAACAAAATTAAATAAATTATAATTATTACAATAATTAAATATAACTTTCTTCCACAATCATTTTTTATTTTTGTAGATCAAATCATTAGAGTTAATATCTGATTTCCAATGCATATTCCTTGGTGTTGATTCAGATGGAGGAAAGTATGTGTTGGGGTCAAAATTAGGGAAAGACTATTTTGAAAGACATGTTACTTTACTAGATGTCTTCTATGAATACTGCTGTCAGTCATTTTAAAATTTGAAATTTATGATTAATAATGAAATAAAAAGGGAATGTACATACTGCTATTACTACTAATACTGCTTCTTTCTTCTACTACTACCACTGCTACTACTACTACCAGTTACTACTACAGTTATAGCTACTACTGCTTTTAATTTTAATATGCTATAGTCATAGTATAATAACAAAATGATGATAAAATTATAACATTAAATATTGTTAATGAATAATAATACCAAAATAATAATTATATATTATTATATATTATATAAAAATTATTATCGTTATAATTAGATGAAAATTTGTTGAAAGACTCTAAAATGATTCAAGTTTATTGCAATAAGCCAACAGAAGATGAGGAAGCATTATTGCTCAACCTTGAAGCTACTAGCCATGTATGCAATGAAAATTTTGTTATTCTGTTAATCAAACTCTTTTAGATGCTTCATTACTTTTTAATATTAGTAGTTCTATAATTATTATTATTAGTAGTAGTAGTAGCGACAGTAATAGTAGTAGTGTAGCAGAAGTAGTAGTTGTAGTAGTAGTAGTGGTAGTTGTAAAAGTATTAATAATTCTAATAGTAATAGTATTATTTTTAGTAATACTTCTATTTTTCCCAATAGGAATCCATTAATGTAGCAGCTGATGATGATCAAGATGATGTTAATGATGACGACGATGACGGCGTGCCTAATCCACCATCACATGAGTCTAATGTTTGTGATGAAAATGATGAGGGGGAGGAGGAAGAGAACCACGACGACGACGGTGGTGGTGGTAATAATGATGATGGATCGAAATTTCCGGAATTTTCATCCGGTGGGGGGAACATCTTAAATGGTGAAGTGCTCTCATCTGCTGGAGATGATGAAGGTGATGATGCCAACAAGAATAATAAAGATAATAATACCACCACTACTACTACTACTACTAATAATAATATTATTATTAATATTAATAATAAGAATTATTATGATGATGATGGTAAGAAAGAATACTTGAAAAATTTACACACCTCACTAAAGACCTCAAAATCAGTGTACTTGTGTAAATGGTGTAACTTGACATTCGAAACCGAAGATGAAAAACAAACCCACCTGAAGGAACACCTCAGTAATGGCTTTCAGTGCAGCAAATGTGAGGCCTCATTTAAGACATGGTCTACCTTGAAAAATCATCTATCTTCAGTGCACGCCCTATTGACGCCGTTTCAATGTCACAGATGCGAGAATTCGTTTAAAAGCGCATTGCTACTGCACAAGCACGTTTTAAAATCGCATACCGACGAATTACAATTCAATAACGACGTATTCCGACTCGATACCGACGGTTATTTGAGCGGCAAATCGGTTCAAAATAGTGTTTTGTGTTCGTTTTGTGGTAGGTGTTTCGATTCGGAAAAAGAGTTACAGAGACACGCGAATTTGATGCATCGCTGTCAAAATAAATCACAGTTGTTGATGGTTTGTAATTATTGCGAGAGGGGTTTTAAAAATCGTTCGAATCTCAATAAGCACATAAAGGGCGTGCATCTTAAAGATGACGTTGCTCTTAAACTTGAAGTAAATTCACGATGTCATAATGGGAGTAATAATAAGAGAATTTGTGTTGTTAACAACCGCAATAATAACATTAAGAGTGATGCTGACGTTGCTAACAATGATCATATTACGAATGACGTCATCAGCGTCGGTAGCGGCAACCACATAAACGATCGCTTTCGCAATCGACTGCCTGATAGTACCTTCAGCTCAAATCCTCCGAAGCTTGACTTCCTTCAGGAGCACATGTCATGCAAGCACGAACTTTCCAGCGATTTATTAGATGACAGTGAACTTAACCTTCTTGACGATTTGCCCCACAAAGATATTGTGACGTCACTTTTAAACGCTGAAGTTGATGACGTCAGTTTTAGAGAGGCTCGGGACACCGCCACAACATACGATCCAGACGACGGCGAAGAGAATCACGGCAACGCCAGACGATCGTCTGTTTCAATTTTTGAGAAAAAGTCCTCGAAAGGTTGCTGCAACCTGTGCCACGTCTGCGGGAAGAACTTCTCGCAGCCACACTACCTCCGGCAGCACCTCATCTGTCACAAGGAACGTCGCCCCTACCGCTGCACCGACTGCGGCAAACTCTTCAAACGCCGATCGACCCTACGCGAGCACGAAGCCATCCACATGGATAGGAAGCGTTACAAGTGCCCCGTATGCAGTAGGCAGTTCAAATTCGCCTCCGTGCTGCGACAACACAGGGCCGTCCACACGCGAGAACGTCCGTACTTCTGTGGCGTTTGTAAGAAGAGTTTCAAACAACTGTCCGGTCTGCGCAAACACTCTTGCACTGCTACGACGAGTGTCAAGTCGGTAGTGGATCGGGGTTCGACCCACAAAGAAAACGTGCCTGCTATAGAGGTGGGCCCTGGACAGCAGCCCAGGCGAGTCATGAAGGAGAATGACCCTTCCAAACCCTTTGCTTGCCCTGTTAATACCATTTTTGTTTTTTTTTTAACTTTTTTCATTAACAATAATTATTTCATATTTTTTATTAGCGAAACGCGTTTTAGCTACCAGGTATAATTTTTTCTCGGTTTGTTCCTCAGGTGTGTCCAAAACGATTCAACCTCCAGAAAGCATTGAAGAAGCACTCCCGCGTCCACAGCGACCTTCGACCCTACGTCTGTGAAGTTTGTTCCAAGTCCTTCAAACACCCCTCCTCCCTCCGCCAGCACAGGGCAGTCCACAGCGAGGACCGACCCCACAAATGTTCCTGCTGCTCCAAAAGTTTCAAAAGTTTAACCAGCCTGAAGGAGCACATGGATAAAAATAAGTACAAGTGCGTCTTGATTGCATTTGTCATTTTCATTGTTTGTCGCTGTAGTTATATTATTATTATTATTATTATTATTACGTAGTAAATTCGAGAATGGTTGTAGTGATCGATTGTACGTGAATCCGATTGTACATCAATCTAGTTGTACATGAATCTGGCTGTACATGAATCTGGTTGTACACTTGCTCCAGATGTACAGGTTGTGGAAAGGAGTACATGCACAGAAAAAGCCTGAAAGTGCATATGAACACTTGCACGCTACTGCCGCCACCACAGCAGCAACAACTGCAACTACAACTTCCTCTTCCTCAACAGAAACAACTAACAACAACACCAACAGTTGTTGAGCAACCAAAACAACAACATCAGCAACAACTTTATTCAGCCAACAACAACAACAATGTTTTGTTAAATTTGACAGATTTTAGCAAAAATATTCAACAACAAATTGATCCGAATCTTTATTCAACTTTCATCATTTGCCAACAACAACCACAACAACAACTAACTCCTGTATTACAACAGCAGCCGAAACAAATCATTCAGCAGCAACAACAGCATCAACAACAACAGTTCACTACAGTAACGTTACCGCAAACAATATTTTTTCAAAATTGCAAACAACAACTAGACAACAACATCACCAATAACATCAACAACAACAACAGCTTAAGTAGCACCAACAACATCACAGATAGCACTATTAACACATTACCATTAGACATTTCGTTTTCCAACAACAACAACACATTAAACAACAACGTTTTAGATTGTGTATTGCAGTTAAACGACAACACACAACAACAACAACAGCATTGGATTCTAAACATCAACAACAACAACATCATTAACAACAATATCAACATAAGCAATAAAAACATCAACATAGACAACATCAACAACAACAACAACATAATTAACAACAATATCAACATAAGCAATAAAAACATCAACATAGACAACATCAACAACAACAGCAACAACAGTTCTTTGTGTCAAATACATCTACATGACCAACAATTACATCAACTCTTACAGCAGCCGTTCATGTAATGTAATGTAGTGTTAATTAACTTATGAATTAGTTAAATTTTTTGCGTTCGTTCATTTGTTCGTTCGTTCGTTCGTCCAATCATTCATTCATTGTTTCTTTCATTTCCTTCGTTTGTTCGTTCGTTTTTTTTTTTATAAAAATATCAATCTTAGTTTAAAAATGTAATGATGTCTTTTAAGTAAGAAAAGATTGCTAAAATATAAAGGTAGATGAATACACAAGCATGTATACATAAATACGTACACATAAAGATACATTAATACAAACGTACATACATACATACAAAGAAACAAACATACATACATACAAAGAAACATACATGTATTGGGTACATAAACGTATAGAAACATAATATAAAATTCGTATATATAGATATATATGTTATGTATTTTCTATGCCTGTATGTATGTGTGCGTGTGTAATGTGTGTGTATCCATGTATGTTTAACATGCATGTTTCGCTCTGGTGTATTTTTATGTGTTTGGTAACTCGATGAATAAATTAACGATCGAGTGAACGACAGAATGAATGAATTGATTGTTGGATAGACTGATAGAAGAATGGTTGAATGAATGAATGAATAAAAATGGACAAATGTATAAGTTGATGAATGAATGAAGTAAAAAGTACAGCCCAAGTTATTGCGGTAGTAGTAATAATAATAACAACCGTAGTGGTAACAGCTATAGTCGCCGTAGTGGTAGCTGCAGAAGCAGTTGTAGTATATATATATAAATACTTTTATTATTATTGTAGTTGACAAATTGTTGCGATGTGCAGACCTCTCGGCTCGAGGTGAACATGAAGGATAAGGATGCAAGAGTGGTTCGATCATTAATATTATTAATCCATAATTTTTACTATTGAGTTAATTATTCAATTAAGTTAATTATTCTTGAATAATTAACGATCTTTGTCAGTGCTTACAGTATTATTACTATAATTATTATCGCGTATTAAGGTGTTTGTCAGGGTGATTTTTAAGAAAATTGGTGAGATTGATACGGCCAAAGAATGTTTTTCGGCAGAAGTTGTCATCCAGTCAAAATGGAGGGAGCCGCTTCTCGATGGTTTCAATCAAAAGGTTTCTAAATGGTTCTTAAAATTTGAATTAGTATTTTCTGTTACTACTATTGCTGATGATAATACTACTACTACTGCTGCTGTTATCTACATACTGCTACTACCTCTACTACAATTATTATTACTACTTACAACATTGTAACAGTTTCAAGACGTATATTTTTCTACTCAAAAGTCATCAAATTAGCACGCCAAAACGTAGAAATCTTGATATAAAATAGATTCTAAATGCTAAAAACAACTTTTATAAGCAAAAAACTTCTCCTCTAGGACTTGAAAAATCTTCCATTGGACGGTTACTGGGGCCCGAGACTAATAATTAGTAACATACTGAGCGAAAGTAAAGACGTTGTCTCCAGTATTGTAAAAATTTCAGAGCGAAACTCGAACGCCTACATCCTAAATCAGAGAAGGTTGAAAGGTGTATTTTTAGAGAATCTGGAACTTCAGGAATTTCCATTTGACGTTCAGGTTTCTATTTTTAGCTACTGATTATAATTATTTATGCTAATTAACGATAAATATTTAGTTTAATTATTCCGCCCAGGACATAACCTTAACGATAACGACAGACTTGTCAGAGAAGGACGTTGAATTAGTCGTAGACCCGAGTGAACGTTCTATAGTCGATGTTCGCTCGTTCGTCGACGAACAGGAGTGGAAACTGCAAACGGAAGTGAGAACGGAAGTAGGTCTGCTTGGTGACGTCATTGTGGGGAAGCATTCTATTGGCCGTCAGCATCCGTTCATCCATTTTAAGTGCTCCGCCGAGAGGAGATATCAGTTTTTCATCTGGAATATTATTGTTGTTATGGTTAGTATTGCTCGGATAACATAATAACAACAATAATAATACACTACTACTGCTACTGCTGCTACTTCTACTACTGCTATTTACTGTTATTAATATTATTAATAATAAGAAGAATGACAATAGTTAGAATGATTATTATTGTTATTATTGACAGCTTTTCATAAGCTTGATGTCATTTACGATCTTCTCAGTCGATTACAAGCTACCACAAAATCGCATCCAACTTCATCCTGTTGCTGACGACGATTGCCTTCAAAACTAACATCAGCAATTCATTGCCTAGGATTTCATATCTGACGTATATGGTTTGTTCGTTCGTTCGTTCGTTTGTTTGTTTGTTCGTACGTGCGTGCGTTCGTTCATTCGTTTGTCTGTTTGCTAGTAGTGTGTTTGTTGTCAACGTGGTTTGCTATGCAATGTATCTATATATGTACTATTTTTTAATGTTGTTGCACACTCAAAAACCTCTGGGTAACTTCACAGAGTAACTTCACAGACACACACACGTACACACACACAAGGACTTGTACATTTTGGGATCTTGGGTTATTCAATGTTTGATGTGTGCCTGGCATGCTATAGTTGGAAACCTACTTGTGGCCAACGACGCAACTTTTTGGACCGATAAAGTCGTTCTGATCGCTTTCGGCGTACTTTATATTGTCTTCTTGACACTCTACATCCTCGCCATGGCTTATAAGGTTAGGATTGGGATCGTGATTGTGATGACGACGACGACGATGATGATAATGTGATGATGATGATGATGATGATGATGATTATGATGATGTATCGTATAAGTATCGTATCGTATCGTATCGTATCGTAAAGTGACAATAATTATTAAATAACTATAGATAAAGTCGCGCAAGAGACGGATCGCGAACGATAAATCGATTACCCATCTATAACTGTAATAACCTTTGATACTAATAATAATAATTACAACAACAATAACAATAATAATAATTATCATAATCATGATAATGACGTAATAATGTCCTCATCATCATCAATTACGTCATCGTCGCCATCATCACTTTCTGGATACAATGTCGAGAAATTCGTTATCTGGATTGGGTACAATGTGGCTACGATGTACCAATTGCTCCAGATTTCCGGCATCCAATAGGAATGGAGTTAATGGGGTCATCGACCTAGATTCTGTATTCATACTTCTCGGTCTTCTTTGTCTGCCATTGGTCCGTCTCGGCCGGCCAGCGCTTGATGATTGGTTGATTTGAAATTCGTCTCGACCAATGGGATTCGTTTGTGTTGATGATGAAGACGATGATGAGGATGGTGAGAATGGCTGTTGTTGTTGTTGCTGGGATGATGATGATAATGATGATGGCTGAATGATGATCGGTGATTGGTAGACTACTATCAATGGCAGCTCATTGTTGTTGTTTGTGTTGTTGCTGTTGTTGCTGTTGTTGTTGCTGTTGTTGCTGTTGATGTTGTTGTTGTTGCTGCTGCTACTGCTGGTTAAGACAACAGTTGTTGTTGTTGAAAGAGTTGTTGATGACGTTGGCTGTTGTTGCTGTTGCTGCTGTTGGTACTGTCTCGCATTTTTTAAAGTGCTGTACTCTTCTAGAAGTAATAAAATTTAAATAAACCGTATAAACAAATTTTTCATATTATTATAAATTACAATGAAGAACAACAACAACAAAAATAACAAGAACAATAAACAAAAACAGCAATAATAATAATAACAACCACAAAAACCTGAGATGATGACGAAAGCAGCTCCCCAGAGTAGGCTCCAGATCCAGCCAATCAGAAGGAAGGGCGTGGTCAAGAATTGTAGGCAGGCGACGCGCACGTTCACGCAGACGACGATGTTTCTAGAAACCTTTGGTCTGCATCGTGATATCGATAGATGGCAGACGAGAGAGAGAGCCGAGACAAATGTTCCTGTTACATATAGTGAATGTTTATAAAATATTAGCTAACTAAGGATTGGTTCATTGGTTGATTCATTTATTCGTTTGTTTATTTGTTCATTCTTTCATTTAGTGAAACATTTAGCTTTCATAACAATGTGTAATTTAGGCGCAACCCGGGGCATCCAGCTTACCGAAACCAGGACAGAGAATATTGCATATAAGGCACATAACGGCCAGAGATATATGCATAGCTGGTATTGCTCTTTTGAAGCTAAGTGTAGCTGCTGTAGTTGCTGTTTCAGCTGGTGTTGCTGCTGCTGCTGATAATGATGATGGCGACGTTTCGTTCACCGATTTAGCGTTGCCTGCATAAAAGTTTCATGTCTTTGTTGATGTATATTGAATTTTAATATAGAGAGGTTGATGATAGAATTCATTCATTCAAGTGCTCTTTCTCAACCATATATTAATGCTGTTCATTCATTCTTTTTTCATTCATTTGTTCATCAATTCATTCATTTATTTTTCATTTGTTCATTCATTCATACAATCATTCAAACATATTTTCATTCCTTCATTCATTTGTCTCACACTCGATCGATCTACTAACCCTTTTCCGTCGTATACCCTGGCATAACGGGCCTCCAGATAAAAGGTGAAGGGGCCCTAGATGACCCCGAGAAATTAAATGACCCGGTCAAGTTAATCGAACTAGTTAGGTTAAATGAACTACTTAAGTTAGGTGGAGAAATTAAACTAGAAAATTTGGAACCCTTTGGTGATTCTATGGTTATTTGTGGTCCGGCCGGCTTTTCTGATTCAGTTTTATTATTTTCATTCTGAATCGACTTAGTAAATTTATCTGAATTAATTTTATTATCTTCGCTCTTTGTTCTCGGTGAGTTGGTTGATGTTAGCGATTCAGTTGAATTAGTAAAGGTTTGAGAAAGTGATGATGTTGTTGAAGTTGGGTGTGGTTGTTTTTTATCAGCGCTGTCGTTGTTGTTGTTGTTGTTTACGTTACACTGACTTTTTATTTGGTGTAAATGCTGCTGTTTTTGATGTTGTTGACGTTGTGGTTGTAGTTGCTGTTGTGGTTGTTGATTTTTGAAACGAGAACTATGCATTAATTTATCTAAGTAGCTTGGTGATGATGTCGGTGATGACGTTTCTGTGGTGGTGGTAGTATTAGTAGTGATGACCCCTAAAGATGGAGATTCAGCGTATGAGGATGGTGATAACGACGAAATTAAGGTCGTTGACGCTGGTGATGACGTAGCTGCCATTTTAGCCTCAACTCCAAACAAAGTTGACCCTAAATCTTGAGTTTTTATCAAATTTTTTCATTCATAAGCATTATAAAGTTACGCGTTAACGGGAAAATGAAAAATAAGGATAGGCTGCCAAGAGAATACCACAAAACCTCATCTATTATTCATTAAAATCCATAAAATGTCTGTGTGAGTGTGTATGTATGTGTGTGTGTGTGTATGTGTGTGTGTGTGTGTGTGTGTGCGCGCGTCTGTGTATTAGTAGATGACGGTATTACTTAACGAACAATTGGTAGCATTACAACTATAATACCTCTACCTATATGCGCCTTCAAAATCCAGACTTATCCATTTTTAGCTACACATTATCTTATCTATAATATTAATTTTAAAAGATCATTGTATTCTAGATTAGTATTAATATAAAGTTGGTAGTTTTGCACATTTTAAATGCTTTTTATGTACTCCAAATACGGTAATAAATCGCGGATAAGACCTTTTTAAATCACTATTGCATAGTTAGGCTATGCTTAACCTTCATAGACCAGTAATATTTTAAGTTCAATTTTAGTATCAAACCGTGATGGCGGTAGTAATTTTTGTTTTAAAGTTTAGTAGATTTAATATATTTCGTAAACTTTGTTCGTTTAGAACGATTTTATATTAAAGTTTATAGTTAGTATTACAATTTTAGATTGTTAATGATTTGTGTTACTTAGTCATTGGTGTATTAATAGTTCAGTCAATCAGTGTCAATCACATCATATCACATCACAAGATCAATAAATTTTTTTAAATAATTTTTTAAAATACTGAATTCAATTAAACTGTTCATCTCAAAATAGTATTTTACATAAAACTTGACGTGTATTTCATTATTTATTAATGTTATTTTGAAATTTATTTTTCATTATTAAATGACAGATCAACAACGTGAAATTGAAATGGAGGCATTGCTTTTGAAATATTACAGGAAAGTTTTCATTCTAGAAACCTTTATTAAGACAGTTATAGTTAAAGTTAACAACAGTATCATTAATTTAAATAATAATCCTAACTCACGAAACAGTGGAGATAATTTGGATTTTGTTGAATTTTTACGAACAACTTTGATAGCAACCAACCCTGATGCCTCACCCATCAGCTCTTTCAAAAACACTGGCAATCATTTCTCAATGAAATGCTTATTAGATAGAGTAATTAGAAAAAAATTAAATAAAGCTTCCCAGAGTTATGTAAATATCCTAACGAGCGGTCAACTCAAAGACGGAAACATCTTTCTCAAAGCACATCTGCAAGAAGCTTTGGAATCTGGTTTCATCAGAAATAACAACATCGGTAACTTTTTAGACAAAAAATGGGATGTTCTTCTGAGTACGATTGGAGATGAGGCTATGCTGTACATTCTTGAAAACTGTTCTATTTTTATTTCTCTCGGTCACCTCTGCTACTTGCAAATTTCTGGGGCTCCAATCACTGACCTACCCATTATTAATGACTCACGAACTAAAAGTTATGATAGAGATGTGACAAAAAGTTGCATAAGGAAACTTCGAGTTAAGAAAAAACACAAACCTACAAAAAAATCAGACAATGGTTTTACAAAAATTGTAAATGCAAAGTCAACATCAACTAGATATGGAGCATTGAAAAGATCTGTTGATGTTACTGATGCAGTTGAACCAGCAAAGAAGAAAGCCAGATGTGAGGAAAGAAGCGAAGTGAATGATGGTGTGGTAAATGTTGATGACAGCCTGTTCAGCTCATCTGGTGATAACAACTTCAACGCCAGCAACACCAAAAACGGCAGTGGTATGATTGATGATGAAGTAAATGCTCCTGCTGATGATTCAAGTTTATTCGCATCAGACAACGCCAACAAATCTCAAATCGACAACAACTTAAACGCAGCAAGTGATCAAAATGTTAAAAAACGACGTAGGAAGAGAAGAAAGAAAAAAAATTCTTCCACCGTTGAGGAGAGCCAAGATTTTCGGGCTTATGATGCAAATGTTGTCATTGACAAGATAACCATACTCTACTGCCATGTTTTCACGTGTTCTTTTCCACCCAAGTTTGCCTTGAAAGATTTTGAAAAGAGGAAGCCTGTTGATAGGTCGATGATTGAAAAAATCCTGTTGAAGAGAGACATCTACTTGGACCCAGCGATGAACAAAAGTTCAACCTTAAATTATCCTGAGAGTGTCTGGATTGTATTGGAAAAATCATTCGAAATGCTGCTGAAGCAACATGCTAAGTTTAAATATAAATGGGTGTTGGAGAGTTTTTTATCTGGCAAAATGCTACAAAAAAGGTCTAGAAACAGACATAGATCAAAAAATGGTGCAATTATTTCAAGCAACACTCCATTGAACTCTACAAAAAACGCTAAAAAAACCAGTCTGGTAGAGAAGTATGTTCCAGCTAAAAAGTTGGAATTGTTTCTTAAAGTTTGCATCAACAAAGTCATACCCACAGAACTTTTGGGCAGTGAGCACAACAAAGAAACTTTCTGCAAATCTGTCAGATACCTGTTGTACTCTGGAAGGTTTGAAAACTTAACACTGGATCAGTTGATGTTTAAAGTTAAGACGAAATGTGGTTGGATGTCCGAAATTAGGAACAACTCAGAGAGGCTGCAGCTCTTAGCTAGGTTGCACTATTGGCTGATGAGTTCGTACGTCATGGGCCTCATTAGGTCCTACTTCTTTGTGACTGACTCTGATATCTACAAGAACAAAATTTTTTTCTACCACAAACCTGTCTGGAAGAAAATCTGTCAGAAGGCAATCAGTGAGAGCCAGAGGAGAGGATTGTTAAAAGAAATAAGCAAGGAGTTGGCTGAATCAAGCGTAAGTAGTGGCAAGTCTTTAGGATTTGCAAAAGTTAGATTCACTCCAAAGTTAAGTTCAGTTAGGATGATAACTAACATGAAGAAGAAACAGAATCTCAATTTAAGAGCCATCAATTGGCAGCTGGATGACGTGAGGCACATAATATTGTATGAGAGGTCACTGAAACCTGAGATCATGGGCTCATCTGTCCTCTCCATCAACCACACACATAACTTGTGGAAAAAATATTTCTTGAATAACTACACAGCTGATGGCCTCACTAATTTTTTTTTCGTGAAAACCGACATAAAAAGTTGCTTTGATTCTATAAGTCACTACAAGCTCTACTCCATTCTCAAGAGAATCTTCGATGAGCCGAAGATCTATCAGCTGATCAAATATAATCAGATAAAGTTAGGCAGTCACACACCATACAAGAATACTGTAAGAGCAGCAGTTGAGAAAACAGTTGAGCCATTCAATTTCAAAAATTACGCCCAGGAGTTGGTCGGTAAGAAGAGTTGCATGAACACAATCTTCATTGATACATTTAATTACTGGCAGATAAGCACAGAGATGGTTCTTCAAAGATTGAAAGCTCATTTGCTTGGCAATATTTTACAATTTAACGGTAGTTATTATCTCCAGATGCAAGGGATCAGTCAGGGCTCTTGCATTTCCAGTCTGCTTTGTAATTTATATTATGCAGATATGGAGTTTAAAAATTTTTCAGTCAGAAGTGATGAGTTGCTGCTGAGGCAAGTTGACGATTACATTTTTGTGAGTAAAGATGTTGAGAGGGCCAAAATAATTTTAGAAAAAATGTCTGCCGGGTTTGTTGAATACTCATTTCAGATAAACAAAGAAAAAACTCTGACGAATTTCAAATACGATGCCAAAAATCGCGGGATGTGCAGCGGAACATTTGCGCGATCGAGACTGCCCTGGTGTGGGTTGATCATCGACATGAAAACGTTGGAAATTTATTCTGATTATTCAAAATTTGCGGGCCTCTCCGTCAAGTATACCATGTCGGCCAGTTTCTCGAACCATCCTGGCAGTGCGATAGAGAAGAAATTGTTATTCTCCGTAAGATCCAAATGTAATTCCATCTATTTCGACACCACTTACAACTCAGTTAACACTATTTTTTTGAATGTCTACAAAATATTTTTGCTACTAGCGTACAAATTCGTCTATTTGATTCGAAAGTTACCTATGCAAAATAGCTTAGAAAAAAATAAGGTATTTTTTTTCACCGTTATACAAAATGTTTGCATTCAAGTCACATCACTGTTAAGAATTTGTGCAAGAAAAGATAAAGAAATAAAAAAACTTCTCGTCTACGTGCTATGTCTGAAGGCTTTTGAGATCAAACTGAATAAGCAAAGAGCGCAATTTAATTCACTTTTGAAATTGATAAAAATGGAACTTACAAAATTATTTAAGATTTACAAAAATATCGATTTCGATGTACAACCCACCTACCTGACGTCAGCCAGTTTCATTGAAAGGAAATGTTTTTACGAGGATTTGGAGTCTTTGACTTCGAACATTGATCTATTTCCACAAGAGTTTAATCACATTCTTAGCTGAAATTAATTTAATTAAAATTTTTACGAATTTATAATCAAACTTTGATATGTTGAATGTTTTAGTCGTTATTTTAGCGTACACTTTTGCGTGTATTGTATTTTCATTGGGAATTAATTTGTTAACGTTTTATGATATTTGATAATTTTTTACCACACAAGCACACACATGTTACTCCATTTTCATTTGACGTTTCAATCAAACAAGAAATCAAGAATTTTTCCGAACTTATTAATTGCTCGTTGGTTCATTATTGAAAATTCAAAACACAATTCAATCAATCATCCATCTTCTACCCAAATATTCAAGTTGAAATCCAAAGGTTTTTATTTCAAATAAACATTCATTTGCAGTCATCTTTAGCGAAAACAATGAGAATAATAAGTAACTAATATTACTTAACTAAACGAACGACAATACTAAAAATAGTTAACAGTACTATAAATAGAAACGGTACTAATAATAGTAACATTACCAAAATAGTAACATTACTGACAATAGTAGTACTACAAACTATATAGTAACACTAATATCCTTTCTAAAGAATATTTACGGCTGTAAATAATTTTCCATAATTTATTTCTTGCAATGTTATAACGTGTCAATCAAATGTCTTAATCTCATCCCTTGTTAGTACATCAGCATTTAATAATAGACAAAGAAGGACAGCAAACAATTCTTTTATAATAATAATATTAATTAATAAATAAATTATCCATTTAATTTGTAATTTTTATTAAAAATTCAAATAAATTTTCTCTGATATATATATATATATATCATAAATATATATAAATATATCATAATTATATAGATATATATCATAATAAAACGTAGAAAAACTATCTCAATTAACTAGTCATCGCTGAACACACAAATGCATTAGAAACAACAAAAAAAATATAAAAAAAAATAGGTAAATAAATCGTTAAAAAAAACTTCCAATTACAAATTAAGTAAACGAATTATTTTCTTATGTAAAAATTTTGAAACCGGAGAACGAGGAAAAAACAAAAAACTATCATCAAGTCCCTGCTTAACCTTCTCAGAAAATAGAGTCACCTCTACAATTAAGAAGTACCATCCCCCTTTAAAAAAAAGGGCCCACCCCTCATAAAATCACCAGGGCCCCGTCGTAACAACAGCACTACAAACCACCAGACCCAACAGTTTCTATTACAATAACATGGTGTCCGGTTTTTCGAGGAACCTCTTGAATTGGGCCAACCATTGGGCCCCAACGGCACCATCTACGACCCTGTGATCACAGCTCAGTGTAACGCTCATGACATCACTGACCCTGTGGCTAAAAATAGAAATGTGAGAATTTGTTAAAAAAAATAGTTTTACTTCATTTCATTATTCACCGTTGTTACTCTATTAATTACTTATTACTACTAAGTATATTATATATATATATATATATTTATTTAAATTTATAATTAAAAATTATTTATAGTCATAATAAGCAAATAATATTACAACACACTCAGCCTACCCAGTGTTGGATGAATCATCTGGTACCAATAACTTGCCACTCCCGCCCACAGCTAGTATACAAGCCTATAATATTATTGTTATAATAATATTATTGTTATAATTATTTATATTCATAATTATTACTATAATTATAAGCAATATTATTAATATTTAATTATAACCTGGGGTGGGTTGATGATGGCTGAGAAGTTCTTAATCCCAAACATGCCCAAATTTGAAATGGTAAATGTGCCACCCTTAAATATGAACAATAATTATGATAATAATACCAATTATAATTAATAATTATCTTTATTATTATATTAATAATAATTACTTGGAATTCTTGAGGTTGAAGCTTCCCAGCTTTGGCTTTCTGGGCCAATGATGTTACATCCATGCTAATCGTTGCTAGGCCCTTTTAGGATAATTAATAAAAAAATAATTAGAACACTAACTATAATTAAAATACACTAACTATAATTATATTAATTAATCATAATGAATATTAAATAATAACAGTAAACCTTTTTATCAGCTTGAAATACAATAGGAGTGATCAGACCATTGTCTGTGGCAACGGCTACGTTTATGTCGACATTGTTATTTCTATGCAGATGAATGGATAATTTTTAATATGAAAAACTATTTATCTTTGTGCATACAATTATCATTATAATAATAATAATAAACATAATTATTGTTAATACCTTTAAATATTATTATTATTTATTATTATAAATATAATTTGGAAGCGCTAACTGTCTGATGAAGGTTTCCTGCCAAGAGGAGTTAGCCTCTGGAACTTTCTTACAGGCCAGGGCACTCGCTTTGATCAGGAAATCATTAACCGAGAGTTTGACCTTTTCTTTGGCCAGTAGTTCGTTCAACTCTTTTCTTAACCTGGTTTTTGGCATTGTTGTTGTTGTTACTAATTTTACTTTTAACATTCATTTCTGCTGACATTTTTTCTACAATTAATAAAATGACAACACTGATTAGGATAAAGATGATGATGATAATGAAGATGAGGATGAAGATACCTGATGACGTTGTCCATCTGAACATCGATTGACAGGTAGTAGTGAGGGATGGTTTGTTTTGACAGCAGCAACCTTTTGGCTATCACCTAAAAAAACCGTCATTACCACCTCTTTAATATCATCATCATCATCCTCATCAGCAGCAGCCACAGTAGTAGCATCAACATCATCATCACCCCATTTATCACTATTATCAAGGTAAATCACCTGTCTCATATTGCTTAACGGTATGTCAACAAATGAAGCTCCAGGAATGGCTGCAGCCAATGGAATTTGAGGGGGTGGAGCCGAAACAGAAGGAGCCATTGCTATTGGCTGAGCAGGTGTGTATGCTTTGACATCATCAGCTGTTACACTGCCATCAGCACCAGTACCCTTCACGAGCTAATTTTGATTTGTGAACTAAAAATTGATATCTCAAATGAAGAGAGCACACAGATATATCAATATAAACTTATGAATTCATAAAATGATATCAAAAAATTTATCAAAAAACTATATATAGTAAAAAATCTAACCGCTATATCAATGCCTTTCTCTGCAGCTAGTCTCTTTGCAAGAGGGCTAGCCGGGGTTTTCCCACCAGCAGCTGGTTGGGCAGCTGGTAGTGGTTGAGCAGCAGCAGCTGGCACTTGTGTAGCTGCTGGAAAAGCGCCAAGTGCAGCAGCAGCTGGTGAAGCGGCTGCTGGTTGTTGAGAAGGTGGGGGAGGTGCAGTTGCGGTTTCAACATAATCTGCAAATGCCTGGATGTCCTCCTTTTTTGGTACTATGATGCAGAGGAGCTGAATGGAATGAAATGAAGTAATAAAAAAATTTTATTGCACAAAGGAACAAAGATTTTTAAATTAATTAAATATTTAAATAAACAAACGAAATTGAGGAACAAATAAACAAACAAATCAACATGCCTCAATTGAATATCTAACTAAAAACATGAAAAAAATTGAATCAGATAGAAAATAAGACACACAGTTCCAAGACTGAGACCCTTGCTACCAGCAGGTGCAAGTATTTTGGCCAGAAATCCTTCTTCTGGCGTTTCAAAGTCCATAGTCGCCTTGTCAGTCTCAATTTGCGCCAGGACGTCACCCTCCTTCAGTTCATCGCCCTCCTTTGCCATCCACGCCTGAATGTTGCCCTTCTCCATTGTCGGGGACAAACTTGGAAGGGTTACTGTCGATGATCATTGGTTGATCAGTGAATTAGTCATGTGAATGGTTTGGAATGTCGTTATGAAAAAGAAGTGATGCAATGAAGTGTCATTAAATATGTATTAAACAAATGGAACAACAAAATAACAGCAAAAACCTTTAGTGTGACTTGGATAAGTGATACCCCCAACAGAGAGGGGCACGTGGGGTGCAGGGGCAGCCGGAGCAGCAGGTTGGATGATGGGGGTGGGATAGGCATCTCCTCTCAATGAATCTTCTGTAGGTTTGTAGGATTTGAAGGCCTTCACATCACTCTCTTTCTCTACTATAATGCATAGTAGCTGTCAAATAAATAAGTCAGAGATTGAATTATCTATATAAAAGTCAATTCTAGTAAAATATAATCGGTTTGAAATTGGTTTGAAATTTTAAAATCTATTCAGCTCACTTTTCCGAGAGGAACGTCCTTAGTATTTGCAGGAATGATGATCCTGGCAAGGTACCCCTCTTCAGGGGTTTCAAACCCCATGGTGGCCTTGTCGGTTTCAATCTCGGCCAAGAGATCTCCCTCATTCAGTTTGTCACCTTCCTGCTTGGTCCAACGAACTAATGTGCCTTTCTCCATGGTCGGGGACAGAGCTGGTAGGGTCACTTTCAAATGTTCTGGCCATTTTCCGCCTTAATTTAGGTAAACATTGCAATTTTTTAGCCATTTAGTAAGTTAGTCTCCATCAGGTGAATTGGATAAATAACTTAACTAACGAACCTGTAGCAAAACGTCTTGAGATGTGTGCACTCCATATTTCATTGCTTGGACAACTGTAACAAGGCAAAGGTTATTTCATTCAATAAATTGCATTCATATGAAAAAATGTAATTTAACGTAACTAGTGGCAATTTAATAAAAAATTTGTAAACTAAAAAAAATGAAAAAGTGACCTTGGCCCCTTCAGCAATTGAGCAGGTTCAAAGAGTGAATTTTTCTTCTCGATTAATTTAAGAAACGGCCGACAACCGGACAAATTCCTAACTCCATTAGAAACTTGTTTGCCGTTCACTAACCTGACCAGGGGGGCAGATTTTGACAGTTTTCCGGCACGAAACATTGTTTATTTTACAGAAAAAAATTCAGGAAAACTTAGATTAGATAGATGTGTTTCGTTCCCACTTTTTAATTTGTTTGATGGTGCCTTACGTGAACATTACTTCCATACATACAAACATACACCTATATAGAATACATCCAAGTATTTTTGCGGTTATATAGGCATGTATGTATGTATGTATGTATGTATATATATATACACATATGTAGTGTACGAATATATACAAATTGCAATAAATAAAACAGTTGTATTGTTTTGTATTGCATTGTACATTGCTTGTAGTGCATTTTGTACGTGACATTAGTACTCGTTTAGTACCATGTCTTTTGTTTTAAAAGATAATTATATATATATATATATATATATAATATATACATATATTTGATATATAAATATATATATATATATATATATTTCAGTATTTTAGTAAGAAAGTAAAGCATATTGACAACATTAATATTACAACCGTTATTTTACATTTATTAAAAAATTTTAAATTCAATTGTTTTTAATTAGTTCTAAAGTGAAACATAAATTAAATAACTCTATTAGTTAATTAATTAATTAATTAAATTAATTAATTAATGGATAAATTGATAAAGCGTTTGAAAGTTTTACTGAAGAAGCTTATTGACGGTTTGATTTTTGCTAAATTTGGTTCCAATTTTGTAGTTATAAAAATACAATACTACAATTGATAATAATAATAATAGTAATAATGATGATGATAATAATAATATCAATAATAATAATCCCCAACAAAAGCCATTTTAAAGCGCCAAAATCGCAAAAAGTCATCTGTAGTTGAGATGATTGAAATGGTAGAAATAGTCAAAAATCTTCCGGCCTATCATCTCCATTCTCGTTATTCTCATTCTTATTGCTATTCTCATAATGGAGACGTTGATTTTGAGTACCACATAGATGAAAGACAGGTTGATATGGGCTATTATTATTATTATTATTATTAGTATTATTATTATTGTTATTATTGTTGTTGTTGTTATTATTATTATTATTATTAGCGTAATCGTAATTAAGATCCTCCTACCAATCATCATCATTAACATTATCATCATCAACATTGTCGTCATCTTCATAATAATAATAATGATAATAATTTTACTACTACTACTACTACTACTACTACTACTACTACTACTACTACTACTACTACTACTAATAATAATAATAATAATAATAATAATAATAATAATGATAATAAAAATAATAAAAATAATCGCCATCATCATTATACCATCATAACCAGATGTCAGTTTGCGGCCAAGGACTTCAGTACATTCCATCTGAATTATCTCAAATATTTAACGAGATCTTCTCACTGAGACGTCTGGATCTCTCATGTAATGAATTGAAGTATGTTTGTGTATATTTGTTCATGAGTGGGTGTATTTGTATCTGTGTGTGTGTGTCTGTGTGTGTGTGTGTGTGTGTGTAAGAGAGAGAGAGAGAGAGAGAGAGAGAGAGAGGAGAGAGAGAGAGAGA